CCAGGATTCGATCGTGACCAGGCTCGAACGGATGAGGGCCGCCGACGTGGAAATCACCAGGCTCGAGAACGCAGGGCCGTTCCAGCGGCCAAGGTTAAACCAACCTCCCCGGGGAAGGGCACAGTGTGCCGTGTGCCAGAGACGGGCCAGGAGAGCGGCTTCCTGGGCAGGTACGGCGGCTGGCAACGGCATGAATTGCGCTACATAACTCAGAACAGATACTGCACGAGAGTGATAGTTGAAGGACATGACGCGGTGCGGGGACGCGCTGATCGACAGGAGGTGCCCGCGCGTCCGCCACTTCTTCAGCGGCTCGATCCAGCAGTCCAACTTCGCCTGGGGCCCGAGCCAGAGCCCGAGATACTTCAGCACTGGGGTGATGGCGAAGTCCTGCCACTCAGGTAGATGTTCCCGCAGCCAGGTTCGATAACGGTCGGCCAACTCAGGCGAGAACTCGGCTGCCAGCGGGACGATATGACATTTGGCCACTTTCAGCACTAGTGCGGCCACACGTTCAGCAGCACGATACACGCGCCTCATCGTCTTCAGCGCCCTGATCTGCTTCAGCGCCGCGCCCACGTCATCGGCGCATGCACGCACCACGCCGAGGCCACGGTCCTCCACGGACGCCGCGAAGTCCCTGAGGAAGGGGTCCGCCGCCAGCGAGAACAGGAAGCCCGAGCCAGGGCAGCCCTGCACAATCCCGCTGCCGATGATGAACATGAGCGACGTCATGTACATGTCGCCGCAGAAGCAAAGGACGTGGGTGTACAGCAGGCGGAAGAACTGCAGCAGCGCGGGCGGCATGCCAGCGTGCTTCAACACCAAGAACAGCCATTGATGCGCCAGACTTGGGAAGGCCTGAGAAAAATCGTAACTGACCAGAGATGGCATGGCTACAGACACATTATCTTGCATGGAGAACACTCGTGAATGAACGTCGAGCTCCACAATATTGTTCGCAAAGTTGCGGGTCGGGACGAACCCTCTCTGGGATGCGTGAGTGGACCTCGGGAGCTCTCTGGAGAGGCATTTAGTGACCACACCCGTGACGATCTTGCAGTCAGTGTTCTTGAGGCCCAGGGGGCGAAGGTTAGCAGGGGCCCTGGTGCACCCGTGAGGGGAATCAGAATCCTCGGATCCTTTGGGGATGAAGATGCCCAGCATGTTGTTCCAGGAGGAGCCCATAGAGAACCCATTGAGTTGCCACCACATCGCCTCAAGGAGGATCGGGGCCGAGAACGAGGAGTACTTGTAAGCGCCATACGGTAGCCCATCGGGGCCAGGACCAGAATGAGCGAGACGATTGATGAACGAGTTGACCTGCTTCAGGGTGGGGGGGGCAATGCTCGAGACGTCGATCTTGGGGCAGTATTTCTCAAGGTAAACCTCTGCGGCCCTGGAGTCTATGGTCTTGGACTGGAAGATAGGGCCCCAATGTGCACGGATCTCATCGTTCATGCGCTCTCTGGACGCGACGACCTCGCCGTTTTCCGCTCTCACCCCGACGAGCGGCATCATCCTGTCGAACGGCGCCCACACTCTGGCACGGTGGGCGAGGCGCCTAGCTCGCTTGCGGAGCTTGGCACGTGCAGCAAGGGGAGCCTCGGCCTGCTCTGCCGCTCCCATCTCGCGTCGGAGCGAGTGCAACTGCTCCTCGGCGTCCTCGAATTGCAGCTCGTCGAGCCGGCGTGCAAAGGCCGCGGGGTCCCGGAGGAACAGGCGGCCCGTCTGCGGGGAAGAGGCGAGGAAGTCCTGGGCTAGAGGGTAACGATGTAGACGTTCGGCTAATCTATGATCTTGTCGCCATATGACTCTAGAGATACTCCGTAGTAGTATGAGCTTGGCCTGGGAGGAGGTGGGGTCGGAGGTCAGGATCGCGTCCCTGGCATACCTAGCACCCTCCTCTTGCCCCTCCTCCTCCTCCTCCTCCTCCTCCTCCTCCTCCTCCTCCACAAGTCCTTTTCCGTGTAAGCGACTGCTCCCTGCCACACCCCGAGGCCGGTCGAAAGGGCGGGCCGGGCGTTTCGCCCGAGACTTCTTGACAACTCATGCCCCTGAAGCTTTATATAGTGGCAACAGTTTCGCACATGGAGGGCGGGTGGTTCTCAACATGTGGCTCTCGCCGTAACTCCGCGCACATTTGCCTTGAACATGTGCAAGAGTTTCCCGGATTGAAGGCGTGTCGTTTTCAAAATGTAGCTCTCACCTTGGCGCTGCAAACATTCGTTTGAATCATTTGCAAGAGCTTCGCTGCATGAGGGAGGGTGGTTTTCAAATTGTAGCTCTCGCCGTAACGCCGCGCGCACTCGTCTTAAACAGCCGCAAGAGTCTAATGTGTTGAGGGCGGGTCGCTTTCAAAATGTGGATCTCGCCGTAGCGCCGCGAATACTCATCTTAAAAATTTGCAAGAGTTCCACGGATTCCCATGGCCATCGTACCAGAAATTGTGTTTTGGAAGAACTCAAGATTGTGAGGGCGCAGAAATAACGTGGATTCGCGGTGCACCAGTCCAAAGAATGGCGTTCTGCCACGATTCCAACAGTCAGGTTGCGTCGTGGCGTTGGAGTCCTGAGAATCGTGTTTGGGCACGGTTCAGGGCCTTCAAACGGTTGTCCCCCGACGGGGCTGCTCCGTCAGTGGAAATGAATTATTGTAGAGGGCTGTGAAGAGGCAGCTTGGAGGAAGGGTGTACTCCAACATCGTTGATGACTCTTGGGCTTGCACTGGAACTCCTCCTCTTCCTCCTCAACCCCCTCCTCCTGGCCTCCTCCTCCTCCTCATCCTCCTCTTCCTCCTCCTCCTTCTCCTTCTCCTCCTCCTCCTCCTCCCCCTCCTACTTTCCATCCGCCTTCTTCTCCTCCTCGCTCTTCCCTCCTCCCTGCTCCCCCGTCCCCCCCCCCTCCACTCTCAATCCCTCTCCTCCTCTCCCCTCCCTCCTCCTCCTCCTCCTCCTCCTCCTCCTCAACCTCCTCCTCAACCTCCTCCTGTTTCTCCACCTCCGCCTTCTCCTTCCCCTCCTCCTCCTGCTTTTCCTTCTTCTAATCCTCCGACTCCTCCTCAATCATCCTCCTCTTGGGGTGCGACGGCTTCCCCAACCCATTATTCCACAGCATGCTCCTCCACATCCGAGGCCAGGCAATTCGCCTGGGCATCGTTTCTGGATGTGCTGGTGGGGTTACTTTTTTGATCGCGACCGCGGCGAAAAGGTCGGGCGGCGTCCAGGAGCGATGCACACAAGCAACGGCCTAAACTCGCGCACAGGAAGAGGAGGGGCGCAAGAGAAAAAAACAAGCGGGGAGGGAGGCAAACAGGAAGGCTGGTGGGGTTACGCCAAGCGTCTCAAAAACTAAAGCTCCGGTACATTGGATTCATGTGAAATGCCCAGGGGCTTCCCTCTCTTCCTCGACCATATTCTTCTCGGCGGCCACATACTATTGTCATCCATCCTCGCCAGAACGTGCCTTCACCGCGCGAGGCCACTTCCCCCTTGCTTCCGCCACGACAGAACACTACTATCATGATACGGCCAATCTCATAATGAAGCTTGCGATTGCGGTGGCCCGTACAACAGGTCAGACTGCTGATGCTCCCATGATAGTCGCCCCTGCGTGTGGTCTTCGTCGCCCTTGGCAGAATGCTTCCTCCACCTATGTCGCCGCACCGTTTGTTCCGAACGCGCCCAAGTGGACGACGCTGACACCACGGCAAACCCACGGCAAGCCATACGTCTCGCGCCCAAATTGGACGAAACCGGCACAGCGGCAAACCCCACGGCGAACCCACCGCGCCCGAGGCGGCGTTCGCCCAGGTGGCCGCGGCCTCCTCTCAAAGACGTCAGCTCGCGCGTCGGAGCGAATGGCGCGGCGACTCATGCAGCCTACAAGCAGCTTCTGCCTGCCACGCAGGATGCGCAGCGCCTCCTTCCCTGTCCGCCAGTCCCACTTCCTGGCCTGTCTCTACACTTTGCGAAATGCTTCAGAAATCATGGGTTGAGAAACTCAGAGTCTCAGAATTTGAAGAAAAACCCAGAATTTCGATTGAAATCTCCGGATTTACATTGATGCATTAAGAACAATCGAGACTCTGCCCGAAAACTTAAGTTTTCTTAAGCATCGCCTACTCCAGATTTCGTAATAAAGGGAGGGGGGTCTCATTTCGGGGGGGGTCTCTTCCAGGCTATCTTGGAGGGCCTGGGGGGGTCTGGGGACGATGTTTTGGAGGGTTCTCCCAAGGGGGGGGGTCTGAAATGGCTTGTCTTGGAGGGTCCAGACCCCCTCCCTTTTATTACGAAATCTGGAGTAAGGTGCAAATGTCTTTCGCTGCCTTACAGAAAACCTCGAGAACAACCAGGAATGTACATCCAACGCCCTGCAAGCGGGCGACCCTCAGCGAGCACGTTGCGGGCAAGCATGCGCGCGCCCTCCCTCCCCGCCCCCATATTCTCCTCCTCCTCCTCCTCCTCCTCCTCTTCCTCCTCCTCCTCCTCCTCCTCCTTTTCCTCCTCCTCCGCCTCCTCCTCCGCCTCCTCCTCCGCCTCCTCCTCCTCCTTCGCCTCCTCCTCCGCCTCCTCCTCCTCCCGCTCCTCCTCCTCTTCGTCCTCCTGCGGGGGCGACGCGCAATCCTTGTGCACTGTGGATGGGTGCCGGCGCGTTCCGACCAAGCGCTCTGCGCTGGCTCCCCAGGCCGTTGCACGCAGCAGGCTGCATCCACCCATTAGGGGGCACAGACGCGCCCGGCCAGGGCTTATACCTGGGGCCACCTGGGAGCTCGGCCAGGCAGGCGAGAACGACGTAGCAGGCCTCATCCTCTTCCTCGACTCTTCTCCCGATTCTCCATCCCCGCCTCGAGGGATGCAGACTGTATCCCCGACTCGTCCGCCTCCTTTTCCACCCATCTCCACCTCCGCCTCGCTCTCCATCTCCATCTCCGCCTAGCTGGCCTCCAGCCCCGCGCCTACAGGGAGGAAGAGTGCACCCACCCACCCGCCCCCGAGGCGCCTCCGACGCGCCGGGGGCGTCCGCCGGGTCCTGGGCAGGCGGACGCTGCGCTCGCTTTCCGCCGCAGTTCGCCGGCGTGGCCGTCGCCGTCGTCACCGTCGTCATCGCCAACGACAGCGTCGTCGTCGTCGCCCTCGTCGTCGTCGTCGTCGTCGTCGTCGTCGTCGTCGTGGTCGTGGTGGCCGTCGTCGTGGTCGTCGCCGTCGCTGTGGTCGTGGTCGTGGTCGTGGTCGTGGTCGTGGTCGTGGTCGTCGTCGTCGTCGTCGTCGTCGTCGTCGTCGTCGTCGTCGTCTGCGCCGTCGTCGTCATCTCGGCCTTCTTCGTCGAGGTCGGCGTCGTCTACGTGGCCACCGCCGACGCCGCCGCCGTCGTGGTTGTCTTGGTCGTCGTCGCCGCCGCCGCCGTCGTCGTGGTCGTCGTCGTCGCCGTCGTCGTCGGCATCGTCGTCGTTGTCGCCGCTGTCGTCGTCGTCGTCGTCGTCGTTGTCGCCGCTGTCGTCGTCGTCGCCGTCGTCGCCGCCGTCGTCGTCGCCGTCGTCGTCGTCGCCGTCGTCGTCGTTGTCATTGTTGTCGTCGTTGGCACCGTCGGAAGGGGGGGTGAGCGAGGAGTAACGAGAGGAGGCGGAAGAGGTTGCAGAAGACAAGGGAGAGGACCATCGTAGGAACGCTTCGTGATTACGGCGACGACCGGGACAGCGACGGCGACAACGGCAACGACGATGACGAGGACGACAGCGGAACCGTCGACGCCGAACGCGACGACGACGACGACGATGACGACGACGACGACGACGACGACGACGACTTCGAAAGCGCCGCCGCCGCCGCCAACGACGGCGACAACGACGCCGACGAGGACGACGACGACGACCACGGCGACGATGGCGTCGACGCCGACGCCGACGCCACCGCCGCCGCCGCCGACGACGACGACGACAACGACGACGACGCTGGCGCGGGCGGCGGCGGTGACCGCGGAGGGGGCGGCGGCGGCGCTCCTCGACGGAGGCAAGCAGGTGGCGGAAGCGAAGCTGCTGGCCTGCAGCCGCGCCGCGTGCCACGGCGGTCGCCGCCGTCGTCGCCGCCGTCGCCGCCGACGCCGTCGCTCCCGTCGTCGCCGCCAGCACCGCGCCCGCCGCCGCCGGCGCCGTCCACGCCTCCGCCGCCGGCGCCGTGGCCCCGCCGTCGCCGCCGACGCCGTCGCTCCCGTCGTCGCCGCTGCCGCCGCCGGAAGCGCCGCCGCGGCCGTCGCGCCCGCCGTCGTCGCCACCGACGCCCCTTCGGCAGACAGGTTCGGGGGGGCGACTCTGGGGGTTCCCACCGCGGGCCGGGAAAACAGCGGCCAGGGTCTGGAGTATACCACCTGAGACCTGCTCTGGAACAGGGACGTACCGTTGACGGATCTACCCTTCCTCCGACCGTGTGCTGCGCCGAACGCAGCGGCCGCGTTGTCTATAGATGCACTCACCCCGAATATGTGTGTTTCTTTCTCTCTCTCTTTTCCTATTGTTGTTTGTGTTTTCTCTCTCTCTCTCTCTCTCTCGCTCTATCTCTTTGAGGAATGACAAAAAAGGCCCCTAACCTGGGTTACAAGTGCGAGGTCAGAAAGCCTCCTGGGAACGCCCACAGGCCAGAGAGCTGCCAGGACGCCGCGCGGCAGGCGCGATACGCAGGGTGTACCCTGTCGGCCCACAGGAGCTTCAGCGCACAGCGCATCATATACCCGTGTGGGGGCGTTGTTTTTAAGCCCCTGATATGTCTCTCTTTATCTCTCCTCTTTCTCTGCATGCATACGTACGTACATACATACATACACATACATACATACAGACAGACACACACATACACACATACATACATACCTACATACAAACATACAAACATACATACATACATACATACATACATACATACATGCATGCATGCATGCATTCATTCATGCATACATACATACACGCATACACATACACATACACATACACATACACATACACAAACACAAACACAAACACATACACATTCATTTCACTCATTCACATCATTGGCTCCGATGTCTGAGCGAGATCAGCTTGGCAGCAAAAAGGTCCGGCTCGAAACTCATTCATTAAGCTCGAAGCAATGTCCCTGCTCGCGGCGGTCATGTGGCCTCCACCCTGTGTGACGGCCTCGATTGCCAACGGGCTTGCAAAAGCCCTGGCCAGAGACCCACGACCTCCGACGTGTGAAGAAGCCGAGGGGGTCAAATCCAGGGGGACGGTTACTTGTGAGCTCGATACCATTGTCGGGCCTGCTCTAAAACTCGCGTGCTCGAAACCATACTGTCAAAAACACGGCTACCTGGGAAAACGCCCCGAGAAGCCAAACACATAGCTATCATCCTCAGGTCCGACACGGGGGGGGGGAGGAGGGTGCTCCTCAGCGGTCGCCGTCAGTCTTACCGAAGATGATCGTGCGCGGCTGGAAGACGAGATATCCATCATATTTGAAGTAGCCTCCATTCTGCTGGTGTCGTACTGGTCGCCGCTGCCCCTCCAGTCGGTGTTAGCTGCAATAGCTGTTCCACCCATTCCTGTAGCTCCTTCTCCATGGCTGGCACTCTCCCTTACTTGCGATTCGCCCCCGTCGTCTTGAACGCTTCCATCAAGTGGCAGCGAAACTGCGTGTCCCTCCCTGCCATCGTGAGGCGCTTCGTCTGCTTCTCTTAAGTAAGATCTACCTGGCCAAAGAGAACCAATTCTGACTTCTGCTCGCCGTTGTAGCTGTCGTACTCGGTGTACATAGTTTGTACCATCTGCTTCGAAGGGTCGTCCAAGGCCAGATCCAGTACCGCCAGTAGCCCTCCCATCGCGTACCTCTGTAGGCCCATGTCGTGTTTTTTCTTTATGTTTTGTTATGTGTTGTACGCCGCCGTCTGCTCCCGATTGCGAAGGATAATCGGGCTGTCGCTCTTGAGGGTAAAAATGTAGAGAATCACGCTGCTTGCGATCAGGCACCTCAGCATCTTGGTGTGGCGTGGGAGTAGGGTTTTTTTCGCCTCCATGTTCTTCTTTTTTTCTTCGGCATGATCCTCCTGTGTGCGTTTGCGTTGGCTCCGCTGAAATCCCCCATCCATCGGCGCGTCTAGGTTGCTTTTCTGTAATGGAGCTGGCATAATCCAATATCGGGTGTGGCGTCGGTAAATGAGACCCACCGATGGTGCTCGTACAAGGCGGCCAGGTCCGAAAAGGCTGCGTCACATATTGAACATGTTAGATCAGAAACCATTTGTATTGGCCATTTCATAGTATCCCTTCCCACTTTGCATCGGCCCTGGGCATAAGCAAAGACTAGATGATTTTGTGCACACAACTTGCTTTTCAAAACCGTGTAACAGCTCGGGCACTGGTTCGTGATCACGCTGCTCGGGATCGCGAAGCGAAGTTTATGTCTGGCTGCTTGATGGGTAGCAAGCTGTCGATAGCTGGGGAAACTCTGGTCGCAATTCGTCCCAGTTTCGTGATCGATAAGTTCGCATTTGTATTCTTTGGGGTTCGCGTCTATCATGTCGCTCGGCTGGTCATAGAAGCGGGTCCATATGCTGCTTCCTGGGGTATGGGCTGCTGCTCTTAGGATAGCTGGGTCGACTCGTAGAAACTCTCGTTCGGCTTCGGAGTTCGGGGTGAGGAGGTCCTTCCACGATTCGTTTGATAGGGCCCAGGTCTCCCAGAAGGTCTCGGTGCCACTGATGTCCCTGAAGAGGTTCAAGTCCCGAGCGAACTGATGGGCCCATGGGTTCGCTTTAGCTTCTAACCTCCCGTGTTCGTCTAGAGTCGGGGGGTCGCTCGGGATATGTCCAAAGATAGCGACCAGAGTTTGTCGGTGTGCAACACGGTGACGACACATCGACTGCAACAATTTAATTATTCTGACCGCCAGCTCTGCTCTTACTGGGATACAACGTACACACATACATACATACATACACACACAGTCAGACAGTCAGTCAGTCAGACAGACAGACAGACAGACAGGCAGACTTACATAACGACATCCAATTTGTCTATAGACGCTTGTAGCTAGAAAGGGAGAGCATACTTTTGGCATCGGCACCTGGTTATGACCTAGAGATAGACATTGCCCTGCAAGCCAGGTTGGGCCCGGGAGGGGTCCTGGACCCGATCGTGCGCGGATTGGGGCCAGGGGGAGCGCGGCGTCGAGCCCAGACTGCCAACACCACAGCGACGTCTTCGTCTTCGTCGTCGTCGTCGTGGTAGTTGTGGTCGTCGTGGTCGTGGTCGCAGCCGCCGCCCGCGCCATCGTCGTCGTCATCGTCGTCGTCGTCGTTGTCTTCGTCGTCGTCGTCGCCATCGTCGTCGTCGTTGTCGTCGGCGGCGGCGGCGGCGACGACGTCGTCGTCGTCGGCGTCTTCGTCGTGGTCGTCGTGGTCGTCGTGGTCGTCGTGGGCGTCGTGGGCGTCGTGGGTGTGGTCGTCGTGATCGTCATGGTGGTCGTCGTCGTCGTCGTCCAGCAAGGAGGCGAACGGCCTGCCGATCAGCACTGCAGTCGGCACGTCAAACGAGAGCGAGAGAGCGAGAGAAAGAGAGAGACAGAGAGATCGGCCTCCCAGATGGTGCCCAAGCTTGTTCGCCCCGAGTGGCTCTGGGGGCTCACAGAAGCCCTGGGGCACCTCAGGAAGCTCTCAAGTCTCGACGAAGAGTGTGCCGCAGGATTCCTTCCAGCACGAGCTGTCTCCACTGTGATGCCCGAACGAGCGCACCACTCAGAGAGAAGACGCCGTGCACGTCAGAACTGCGCGTGGGCAGGAAAACTGGCGCCGACGCGCCGGCAGCCAAACGCCGTGAAACACTTCGAGCACCCCATCGTCGCCAACTCTGTGGACGGGGCGTGCCTGGAAACCTGTGCATGCACTTCCCCCTCGCCATGAGGACCCCCCGCGGTGGGCGCACCACTCGGGAGCCCCCAAAAAACCGTCGCGGCTCCGCTGGTGGAGAACCCGATCCTTACTCGGGATCGGCCAAGAGGGGGGTGTCCAAGAGGGGGGGGTGCAAATCATGACCGGCGGCATGTGCGCGGCCCAGCGGGGGGGCCAGGGACGTAATGAAATAAGAAGAGGCGGCATGAAACCTGGGGAAATATCATGGCCCGAGCCATGATATCCACCACCCCATAGTCATCACCCCCCTCTTTGCCGCCCCCGACTTACATGAGAAACATCCACGCCCGAGCTCCGCCTCGGGACGGGCCCGAGGCGACGGGTCGACAAAGGCCGAGCGACACGGGCGAATTACTGTGGGGGCATTGGACAAGGAACCCTTCGATCAGGAATCCCGGGTCTGCGGGCCAGTGGAACTCCAAACGTGGATCGGCCATGGATATCAACGCCGCCCTCATTGGATCAGGAATCTTCAAGGGTCTGGCGCCTCCTGGGCCTATTCCTTAACAAACGCCTCCGCCGTACTGTGAAGCGGGCGGCCAGGGGCCAACTGCACCAGAGCTCGGAAGGACTCACGCCCAGGAAAGCACCGGCCGGGCCACCACGGGCAGGGCGCTAGGCCCCACCGCCTCCCCGCGCCTCAGGCCGTCGCCGCAGCCGTCGACGCCGCCACCGAAGGCCTCCAGAGGCTTGGGCCTCCAGAGCCCTCTGGACACCTCTGGGGACGGCGTCGGTCGTCGTCGCCGCCGCTGTCGCAGGCGTCGCCGCCGTCGCGGCCGCAACCGGCACCAGCGCCGCCGCCAGCGCGGCAGCCGTCGCCGCAGGCGCCGTCGCGGTCGACGCCGCCACCTTCGCCGCCGCCGTCGTGGCTGATGTCGCCGCCGATGCCGTCGGCATCGGCCCCGAGGCGCAGGGACCGCCAGGGAGCTCGACGGCGACCCTGTCGATGTCCACCTCGTCGCCCCACAGGCCCCTCGCGCAGGCGATAGCGCGAGAGTGGCCAGCGGTCGAGGCTGCGTCGCCGTCGGCCATGGCAACGTCGTCGTCGTCGTCGTCGTCGTCGGCATCGGAAGCAATGTCGGCGTGCCACCGTCGTCGTCGTCGTC